GGCGGTGCGGGCGGGCCGGGTGCGGGGCGCCCTCTTCCTGCCGCCAGGTGAGCCACCCGCTGCCCTCCCTGGTCCCGGCTGCCTGTGTCCCGGCACAGGTGCGGCGTCTCTGATCCCGTTCTGTCCTCCCCTGCCGATCCCTCGGGAACCCTCTGAGGCCCTTGGTCGCTGCGGGAGCGTGAGGACGCCCCGGCTGCAGGTTCTGTTAAGGCCTTGAGCGGTGCCGCGGGTGCTTGGCATGCCCGGCGTCCGCCAGGCCCGCGGGGGTCGACTGAGGAGCGACGAGGGACCCGCAGGCGATCAGTGCACACGTTCAGGTTTGAGCTCCCGGCTCTGGATCCGTGATTGTGGCCCGGGAAGGAACCAGAAGCATCTCCAGGCAACTCGTTAGAAATGCCGGTTTGGCCCCTCTCAGATGTAAAGAAGCTGGAGGGATGGAAGTGGAACGAGCAGCCTGAGTGGAACACTTTTTCCGTTGTTCCTGAGGCAGACGCAGTGCGAGAGCCTCTGCCTAGCGAAAGGGGCATGGAAAGTGCAGGAGCTCACGGGGAGCTGCGCGCGGCGCTCTGGTCATAGCTGGAATTCCCTTTGCAGCAGAGCCCAGAGGTAGAACTGCCAGCAGACCGAGGCGAGTGTACAGGAGGCGCAGAGGCAAGGACATCTTTGTCCTTGTCTGAGTGTGATGAGTGTGGCGGCGCACGCCTGTGATCCCCAGCACCCGGGAGGCTGAGGTCTGGAGGACGGCCACGAGTCCCAGGCCAGCCTGTGCTGCACAGTGAGTTCAAAGCTGGTCTGAACTACATCCCGAGAACCTGTCTCAAAAAACAAAGCAGTAAAAGGACTATTTATCTCTTAGGCAAAAGGAACATTTTCGTCATGCCAAAACCTCAGTGCTTAGTACTGCTCTAGGATATGGAAGAAATCTTGTAAAATTGAAACTGTGGTTCTTTGGGAAACAAACTTCAGCTAATGTAATATTTACCTATTAAAATAGTAACAAGCAAGTATATCAACAGCACAAGGCGTCTACATTAAAGTGCTGTCTTCTGTATGATGTCTTCACTTGACCTACTCATGGGAAGCTGTATTTCTGTGCAGTTCTTGCTGTCCTGTAATCCAACATCCCAGTTAGGATGTCGTTGTTAAACTTCAGCATTTCTTTGGGTGGCTGAAATTCTAAACCTTCTAATTCCTGCAGTTCTAAAATGGAACCAGGTTTAAGAGGATAACGAATAATATACTTAACCTTGCCAGGAATTAAGTCTTACAATTAAAACATGTTGATATACGAATGGCCAAATAAGTCAGTAGAATAGACAAACTGACCTATGCACATAGGGAGGCATGGGATATGAGATAGGTCAGGGATGGCGAACCTATTAGAGCTTTCAGTAATAACAAACAGGTGGCTGTGGTACGTGTGCCATAGTTTCGCCACCACTGATACATATAGTGGTATAGATTATTGGGGAAAGGCAGTTGTATTGGCTACTTGAGATTCCTATCTTATCTAATACACAAAAGCAAATTCCAGATGAACTGAAGAAATATATATGAAAACCATAACATTACTAGGAGCTGGGCAAGGTGTCACACACTTGTAATCTCAGCTACCCCGAAAACAGGGAGGAGGATGTCAAGTTTGAGATCAGCCTGGGCAACTTACTGAGAACCTGTCTCAGAATAAAAAAGGGCTGGGGGTGTACCTCATTGCTTCCATACTTCAACCCCATTACTGGGGTTGCAAATTGAAAAACAAACTATTAGGAAACACAATGTGGGTATCTTCATAAGCAACAGAAGATGTTTTTAATATAGACAACAAACAAGTGGTCAGAATCTAGAATACAAAAATGAAAATGCTACAAGTCAATAAAGGCACCCACAAGTTCTTAGAAAAACAGGCCAAAGAGATGGAATTCAGTTGAAAAGGAAACAGGAAAGAGAATGCTGATAAACATGTAAAGAGATTCTCAACTCAGTGATCATAGACAGGCACATTAAAAGTATTGTGGAATACCTTCTCATACCTCATATCTCTCTGTTAGACAAATATATTTGTTGAAAACTTAATTTTGTGTGTGGGTGAAGATGTGATGTACCAGAAGAACAGTCTACACTTCTGCTGGGAGTCTACATCAGTAAAGCAACTTTGAAAAACAACTTGGTAGTAAAAATTCAAATGTACATATGATCTAAGTAACTTAGGCATGTAGCTTGTATGTACAGTGCTTGAAAAATGCTTGTGTCTGGAGCTTACAGGATGCTTAAAGCAGCAATGTAAAACAAGTTGCAGCAACTTTAATGATCAGCAAAAAAGAAACACATAAATTGTGCTGTATTCATCAATATATTATACATAGTGTAGACAGGTTTTGCGCCTGGCCCCAGATTTGGGAAAAAATCATGACCTGGGACCTTGTTAACTAAAATTTTGCTTACAAAGAAGTGGGAATTTGGGACAGATGGAATGTGGACTGAATTTGACCATTCTGATGGCAATCTTGAAGATCATAAGCCTTAACATAGGATGTCTAGACTTTACCTAAGACTTTAAAATTCTTTTCCAGATATATCCAAGAGGGCTTGTGAAGGTTTTTGACATCACAATATTGGAAGCTCAATTAGAATTTTCGAGTTGCAATTACAGTAATTGCAATTACAATTTTGTTACTTAAATAGGAAAGGGCTTTATTGCAAGGTAAGTGTTAGAAACCCAATTGTCCAGAAGACTGAGGTCAGAAAAATGAGAGTCCAAGGGAGACTTCAGCAGGAGCCCCGCTAAGGTCACGGCCCCGTGCCAACACGGGGCATCGTTAACGCTGCACTCTCACCATCACATAAGGACTGCTGTGGACTCAGTGCCAATGTTGTTACCCTGAGTAAATGCTAAGTCATTTCTGCAGCTGTCACTCAGGAGGGTGAGGCTAGATCACGGGAGCAGGGAAGCTCTCCGCACTTAGGGATAGTTAGTTCTCTGGGTCCGAGCAAGGCATCCTTTCAAAATAGGAAAGGAGGTTTGGATAATCAGCCCTCCTTTAAAGTCTCCCAAATATGAGACAGTCAGATTCCAAAAATCACCTAAGGACTACATCTTGGTTTTGTTTCTTTTCAAGGACCTGGGCCCTTTCCTGGGATAGTGGACCTTTTTGGAGTTGGAGGAGGCCTTCTGGAGTATCGAGCTAGTCTGCTGGCGGGCAAGGGCTTTGCTGTGATGGCTCTGGCTTATTATAACTACGACGACCTCCCCAAGGACACAACTGTCTTCCACCTGGAGTACTTTGAAGAAGCTGTGAACTACCTGCTCAATCACCCTCAGGTTGGCCATTCTTTCAGTCCTTTGATTCAGATAGCAGGTTCTGAATACTTCCGGAGGCAGTATAGAATTTCAGCTCAGTGACCTTAGGATTCTCTTTGACAAAAATCAAATATTAAGTGTCTTCCAACTTCACAGAGAAAATTACAGTTGTGAGCTGGGGCAATAAAGTTGGGCATCCAGCCAGATGTTAAATCCAAATTAGGGGTGACCAAGCATTTCATTTTGCCCAGGACAGAGGGTTTTGAGGGATTCAGGCCTTTTGGTGCTAAGACCAGAGTAGGCCAAGGTAAATTGGGAGGGGTGGTGCTTTGCTTTGTGGGTATGCCAGTTTATATCCATCCTTCAGGCTTATTTTAAAGCTAAATGAATCACACATGAGAAATGGACGTGACACTTGATGATCAACATACATTCACCCATGCAGGATGCACAGAGTGAGGAGGGCAAGGTTCCTGTCCACGTGACTTAAAATAGAGTGTGGGGACTGCGGAGGGAGGGCCAGGGAAGAAGGAATCTTAACAATCCAAGTGCTAATAAGAAAATTAACAGCACATTGATGAAGACTAGTGGGCATGAAACTACATGGGACTAGGTAGACCAGGAAGAGCCTCACTTAGCGAAGACTGAAATGTTAGCTATCCTTATTACTAGGAGTATTTTTAGTTGGACTATTCTAGCTATTATATTTTTTCAAACAGTACCCACCACCACTTACATATTAAAAATAAAATAAATGCAAAAGGTAATGAGTAATGACGTAGTAGCTGCCAGGTAAGGTTATATGAATACTTTGAGTTTTTTCCTAAACATGTGATGGTGACTTTATCCTACATATACATACATCATACATATGGTGTACTAGCCTAGATAATAATTGAATGGCTTCCACTATTCTTTGCACAAATAACTGTCAATTCAGGAAGGAAAGGGTTTTTGGTTTTGTAAGTACAGCCCTTGTCTTCCCCAGTACTGTATGTTCATGTGCATCTTGGAGTCTTACCTGCAACCTGTCACCTAGGCTCAGCTTGAACATTTTCCCATTCCCACGGATTGATCTCGAGGCAGAGCACACTGAAGGATAAAGATGCTGCAGACTAATGCGCCGACACCTTCTGGACTTGAGTGCTTTTCCTCCACAAGTGTTATGCTAAGTGCTTTACATGTGGCTTCTCATTTGAGCTTCTTATACACTCAGTGACTCAGGGGCTCACCCCTCATCTCACTGCTAAGGGAACTGAATTTAACAGAGCATTGGTGATCTTCTTAAAGTTGGGGTATTGACAGAGTCAGATATGGCCTCAGGGCTAGCTGACTTCTAGGTTGACACTACTACTCACTTTATGGACTTACTGTCTTTATTTTTTATCTGCCCTTTTCTCAGGTAAAGGGCCCAGGAGTTGGGCTGCTTGGGCTTTCCAAAGGGGGTGAACTGGCCCTCGCCATGGCCTCTTTTCTGAAGGGAATCTCGGCTGCCGTCATCATCAATGGCTCCGTAGCTGCTGTCGGGGGAAACATATGCTATAAGGATGAGTCTGTGCCTCCTGTGACTTCCACGAGGAATCGAGTCAAGATGACGGAAGATGGTATCATGGACGTTGTGGACGCTCTGAACAGCCCTTTGGAAGGACCTGATCAGAAGAGCTTCATTCCTGTGGAGAGGTCTGACACCGCCTTCCTGTTCCTTGTAGGCGAGGATGACCACAACTGGAAGAGTGAGTTCTATGCTAATGAGGCCTCTAAGCGCTTAGAGGCCCACGGGAAGAAAAAGCCCCAGATCATCTGTTACCCGGAAACGGGGCACTATATCGAGGTCCCTTATATCCCCTTGTGCAAGGCTGGTCTGCATAGCTTGGTGGGTGCTCCTATCCTCTTTGGAGGGGAGCCCAGGGCTCATGCCATGGCCCAGGTGGATGTGTGGAAGCAAATTCAGGCTTTCTTCCACAAACATTTGGGTGGTAAAGAGGAGACCATCCCGGTAAAACTGTAGTTTTTACTTGATCAGGTAACATCTCTGATTCTGATCTCTTCTAGGAATAGCTGCTAAAACTTGTGTTTGTATTTTGCCTTCTATTAAAGAACTACATAGTATAGATATTTATAAACTGCACACCGTATCAGTTTTGGAGGGGAGAGACTCTGTAGAAAACATCAGCCAAAAAAACTTACCTTTTATTGCTGCGAAACATGACCAAGATTTTAGCTCCTAAAGGAAAAGTGAATAATACCATTTCATAGTGCCTGCTCTGTAATCGGAGTGTGTCTTAGTTACTTCACTCATTGCTGAGACAAAGTACCTAACACCCAAAGTTAAGGGAGGAGAGGTTTATTGTAGCTCATGGTAGTAGAGGTTTCAGTTTATCGTTGGCTGGCTCTAAGACAGGCTGGCATGGTGAAGGGACACTGTGGAGAAGAAGCAGTTCATGACAGGAAAAAGCCAGGAAGGCAGCAAAATAGCGACATAGTGAAGTAGCAGCAAGTGACAACACCAGCAGCCCTCTTTGTGTCCCTTACATTCTATGGGTAGGGGGAAGCCTTAATCCTAGCATCATATCATTTTTGTCATTGTTTTGGTACCAGGGATCGAACTCACGACCTTGTGCTTGCCAGGCAGGTGCTGTGCTGCTGATCTGTATCCCTAGTTTGGCATCACACTGCAAATCCCAGCTTCACATGCTTAATCCCAGCATCACACATCCTAGGGCCAGCCATCTTTGAAAAGCCCCACCTGCACTACACTTTGGGGGGTCATCTAGCTACAAGCCATAACAGGGTACAATAATTATTATTAACTGACAAGTGGCAGCGTACCATTTTAAAAGAATATATGGTGGCCTTTGTATCCGTTCGTTCCACAACATGTATTTAACCAACTACAGATCAAAAATATTTGAGAAAACTTGCATTTGACTTTTTTCTTGTCACTTTCCCCTAAACATCAAGAGCAACTATATACATAGGATTTGCATTTAACTAAATATTATAGTACATCCCTAGTAAGTGACATTTTCCATCCGTGTGAAAGAAATGGTCATCCAGTGTTCCAGCTGCTGTCAGCGGGGTAGATTCTCTGTTGGCCAGCGCATGCACACGAGTGTTTAGATCAGGAAAGGCAGCTGATATTTCTACTGTAGAAATCACAGAAGATTCCTCTGAGAGGAAGAGTTGGGAATATCTGTCAAATATTTAAGTGTAAACTCTGCTCCAAGGGTGAATGACTGTGTTCTGTTCTCCATCTTACCTCCTGGTTCTAAGAGTAGATTTGGAAAATTGTGCTGTGACATCTTAGCAGAGCATTCTTCACTTCCCTTGACATCAGTGCTGGGCACTGCTACATAAATGTCCTTGACAAAGGCTAAGAACTTTCCAAAACTGATATCAAAGATCTCAAGCCTCATATTCAAGAAGCAATATAACCTCAGCAGGGGTGAATACAAAGAAAATTAACTTTTTTTGGAAATAGGGTCTCAGTACGTAGCCCAGGCTGACCTCAAACTCACTGCAGTCCTCCTGCCTCAGCCTCCCGAGTGCTGGGACTACAGTTGTGTGCCGCCGCACCTGGCTAGAAAATTATCTTTAGCACATCACAGTGAAACCTTTTATAGTAGTTTTATAACATAGCTGTAAATTATTTGCTATTCCATCACCAATAACAGGACCTATATCTCCTTTCTTCAAGCCTGCAGGTCTTGTGACTGTGTCCGTCAGTGGGTCATACAAGGCTATGAAGTTTCCCCCAGGTTTGCAGGGAACCCTTGCTCTTGCCATCCTGAGCCACTGTGTATGGACATTGATTACCTTCAGGCTCTGGTGCTGTCAGGAAACTCAGGATACAGGAGAGGCTAACTGTAGGCACTCTCGAGACACCAGCTGATGTGAGGCCATGGTTTGCCTCTGCCCAGGTGTCAGGGTGAAAAAGCTCCAAATGATTTCAGCTCCAGCCATTTGACTCTTCCCAGCAAATGCTTGAAATACCCTAGGCAAAAAAGAACTGTCCCTGTCAAACCTTATCCAAAATGTAGAATTATGAACAAAATAATTGAATGTTCTTGTTTTAGATGACTTATATTTTGGTTTTGTCTCAGTTGTGTATTGTGTAGTAAACCACCCCAAAGCATAGTAGCTTTACAAAAATGACCATGTGTTTTTCTCAAGACTGCAAGTTGCACAGGACTCAGTGGGAATGGGTCACCTCTGTTCAATGGCTTTGGCTGGAACAGTTTGACCAAGGGTTGGAAGATCTACTTTCATGGCTTGGAGACTGGAACTTATTCTTCCTGTTTAAGGGGTACAGCGAAGGGATGAAATAAGAAACAGAGACAAATTTAGTAATTCTTGACAGGGGTGCTGGGAGGTCAGTGCTTCAGGATGAGCAGAGACCAAACACTCTAGGCTAGCCACTATTTATTGGGTGTGCACAATAATCCAATTTCTCTTTTTTCTCCGGGTTTTCACTTCTGAAGCCTCTCATGTCACATAGAACTTGTATTTAATAAGTTTGTATGCTTCTCTTTTTCATCAGTCATTTGTTGTAGGAGTTCCAGTGGTGGGTGGGAAAATGAGTCTTTTTGTACCTTTACGTTCCATATTGAACTCATACCTGTAAGACAGTTGGCTGTTGATCTCTGGCACTAAGTCTTCCATAAACCATCCTGCAAAAGTCTTCCATAAACCATTTCCAGGGCTGGGGAGTATATCTCGGTGGTAGAGCACTTGTCAATCTGGATGCGTGGGGCGCTGGGTTCTAGCCCCAACACCACAGAACCAGCCAACTAAACAAAATTTTTTCTAAAAATATCTTCCAACTGTGTAGATTAGATAAGCAAATGAGACTAGTGAATAAATAAAAAAGATAATTTCATTAATCTATTCAAGATGTAAGAAAAAGAAACTTGAAAGCAGTCCATTTTCAAGATGAAATGGTTCACTCTGAGTGGAAAATTAATGGCAGTTAAAATTGTCTAACTGCCTGACAAAGTTTATGCACTTGGAGAGTCTCTAGATAGGCAAGACCTTGAGGAAGACATAAAAATAGTAAGAGAGCCTTTGTAGAATGTAGGCTGAGTAGGGGAAGACAGGAGAAAAGTCTGTTTTCCTAGCTGAGGCTAAGTAGACACATGGTAACCGCAGTGTCACAAGAAATCTCTACATAGGAAAATCTGCTTCTCAGAAAGTGAAAAACAGACAGTATTATGAAGAAAGCCAAACTCCAGTTTGGAAGGAGACCAAGGAACTGCCTTATCCAGTGAGAAACTTAGGCATCCTCATGAGAAGATTGTAACTTCCACATCCTCAGCCAACGAGAAACCAGAGGAAAGGACCTGCATGTTAGGGGAGAAATTGGCAGTTGTGACCACCCTGGCTGCGCCTCTCCATCAGACACCCAGCCTCGCGAGACCAAATTAACAACCTCGCTTTTGCTGCTCTTCGTGCCCTTCTGAGTCCATTCTTTGGATCCGGCCAAATGAATGCATTTCTCACAAAGGTCACTTGGAATTTTATTATTTTGGTCACTGAAAGTTAAAATGTGAACATCTATCAGTTAACCCATAAACTCATTTGAGACTGAAGAAAAGGAGAAAAAAAAACCCTCCAAAAGAAGCTTTTTAGAATCAAACTGCTAGGATTTGATCCATAGCCTTCAAAAGGTTAAGGAGCAGGACTCATGAAAATCTTAAAATGTGATGGCCTTAATTTGTTCCATTTTGCCAGATACACAATTTGGATTATACAGCCTTTTATAAACTGGTACTTCCGTGATGGGAATTTTAAAAACTTAAAAATCAGCTAGTAGTGTGACACTGTATGAGGTCAAAATGAGATCATGCAGCCCACCATGTAGCCCATCTGTTAGACGCCCTCAGCCTTGACTGACTACACCCAGCTACAAACCAGAGATAACCTGACCCAGCTCAGTTTGACCACACTCAGCTGCACAGCTGGTACTTTCTATCCCCCAAACACACCCTGTTTGCTAATTTGTTTCAAGGACTTTCTGCTCAGCAACAAGAATAACTGATGCTACCCAATAAACATTCACCACGCTTTTAAGCTTTTGCATCTTCCACTTGTAAAACCTATATAAACTAAGCCCAAAGCTGGCTCTGGGCTGATGCTTTGGGAGCGATCCCCCATCAGCCTGCCAGCATAATAAAGTTGGTTGCCTTCCAACTCCTTGGTGCAGAGCATTTTCCATTTGGTTCAGTACCAGGTTCCATAACATTTTGTACATTGCTATACTTTTGTGTTATGAAAAAATTCTAAAACAAATGCTATAAGATCTTTGACCATACACATTTGTGTGTGTTGTACATGTGTACATACTGAATGTTATGTCCAGTGGCTAAGTCGCCAAAAAATACCAATCTGTTCCAGAATAAACAGATAAATGAGTACACATAAATTAAACTGTTAGGATTATGATAACTAACCAAAACTTGTTGTTCATATGATTTAAGTGAACCTTTGCAAAATAAGTTGGCTTTAAACTTCTTGGTAAAACAAAACTGAAGTTGTCATCATACTTGCTTTGGGAGCACATGTGCAAGCCAGGAAGGTTATTTTATCTATATTTGATGTTTAAAATCATAAAAGTATCATTTTTACTAAGAATAAGTATACAGATGAAAACGCAATGCCATGTGCATTCCTTCCTGAGTATTGAGTACAACAGTTTAACTTTTAGGGTTTTTTTCATTGACAGTGAAATAACTTGAAACAATGACCATGCTTGCATAATGTCTCAGTTTTTATAAGTAATCTAGGTAATATTGTTAAAACTAAGTTAGAATGTAAATGAATAAATATTTATAAATGAACTTTTCATGGAATTTTCAAGTTTAAAGTTATGTTAACTTAAGTAATAGATATGCATAAAATGTCTGAGTCGTATCTAAGGTAAAACAGTGAAACATTAATTGCTAAATGTAAATCCGAGTACTCTTAGGTTTTGAATACTATATAAGGGGGCTGGGGATTTAGCTCAGTGGCACAGCGCCTGCCTGGCAAGCACGAGGTCGAGTTCAATTCCCAGTACTCGAAAAAAACAAAAAAATTAAATTAATTAAATAAATAAATTCTATATAAAAATAAATATATGAGAATATATGTGTCATTCCACATATAAAATTTTTCTGGGAGAAATTATAATATGTCTTAATAAACTATTGGGACTATTTCTTACTGTGTCTCCATTAAAAATAAGTTTACTAAAAGTTAAAAATTCTAATTAATATATTTAAGCATATATGCAAAAACATAAGAAAATAGATTTTTTGTTGTGGTTTTTTGAAGGGTTGAGACAAGGTCTCACTATGTAGTTCAGGCTGGCCTTGATCTCACTATGTAGTCCAGGCTGGCCTCAAACTCAAAGTGATCCTCCTGCTTTACCCTCCTGAGTGCTAGGATTACAGGTGTGCACTACCATGCCCAACAAAAAAGTTGTTTTTCATGAGAAAAACTATAAGAAAGACATAAAAATTTTTCTTTTATTGAGAGAAAGTAATTTTCTCTAAATCTGGAGATTTTCCTTCAGAATTTTTTTCCCAAAATGTAATTTAAGAAAGGAAATACAAACAAGGCAGAAAGGAACCAATAAGTAAGGACAGAGTTGTAAAAAACAAAAACAAAAACCCTCATAAGTGTGGGGATTTGGTGTTCTGGTGAAGAAAGTTAAAAAGAGAGAATATTTTAGTATGCAAAGGAATTTTGCACGGTAGAATCAACTTTTGTCCTAAAGTGGCATAACTGTATTGGTAAAGAATGGAAAGAAAGAATATAGGTAAAATTAAAGGTTATATAGGTTGCAAAGGTCACAAAAGGTTTGTGAAGGACAAATCTTATGAAAGAAAATGTATGTGTGATCACCATTAGCTACAATTGAAAGAAAATTGTTTATAGGTCTTTCTAGAAATTGACCAATAATATACTTGTGTAAAACTAGGATTTAAGTCTCTATATTTAAGCAACAAATCTTTCTTGAAATATTTGTGTTCCTACTAAAAATTTGCAAGAGGCTTTGATATTTTATTCCAGAATCTGTTTTTAACATCTTTCAACCTGCAGCTTTTCCTCTATACTTTCCATTAGTTAGTGTTTTTTCCGTTAAACTATTTAGTCAGCTCCTCTAAACCCTTTTTCTTCTCCACTTTCTGACTGCTACTGTGGCTAATGCCATAAATGTTTCTTTTAAAGGCCTAGGATAACTTGATTCTTTACTTTGGCTTTTCTCTGTGATTTGAATTGTTCGATAGAACCAATTTGCAGTGCTTTTACCATTTCCCACAGCCCCACATTTTCTTGCTCAAGGATCTGGTTTTCTTCTTTACATTCTTCTGTAGCAAGACACACATGCATAACTTGAACATACACTCTCCAGTATCTTCTTACATTCAAGTACCATTTCCACAGGTTTGATGGAAAATCATGTAAACAGTCCTCACCTAAGTATAAGCAATGACACAGCAGGAGGTTTTTCTTTCCCTCTCCGAACTGACCTAGGAATCCCAGACTCTGTTCTTGTAAAGATAATTTATTGTGATTCTGCTACTTTTGTTAGGTGTTTGATTACTTAGGTAAAATAAGCATTAAGAGTTTTTGTAATCTATTTCCTTTTAATATCTTCAACATAATCCATAGCTCTGGTTACATCTGGATTATGACTGTGGTTAAATCACTCTGGTTTGTGGGAACTAAACTGTGCTATGAGTTTATCCCCAGGCGGGGGTGAGGGGGAAGGCAAGGGGAACATGACTAGACACACACTGAAGGATAAAAGACAAGAAGGCACAGAATTAATCTGGAATTCAGGGGCCAGGCTTTGCCTCTAGTGGACAAAGGATCCCTGAGCAATAGGCCCATCTTGCTTTTATTTGCTTATGCAGCGAACAACCAGTCAGGGTAGCAGGAGATTCATCTGCCTCCTGTTACCTATAGTATATGTCCAGGTAAACAACTGGATCTCAGCTGTGTTGACGCTTTCGTGGAACTTGCAACATGCCAGCTCGGCAGCATGTTGCCAAAGGAGCACAGCTTGCTGTTTTTCTCCTTTGTTCTTACAGAGAAGATCAGTTGGGACCTCAATCCTCATTGTCTGGTCTCCTGCACTAGTTAAATAAAGGACTTTTATTTCACAATGATGTGTAATTATTATGCTTGAGTGTTTTAAACCTTGTGACATCTTTGGCAGGCTTCCTCAGGATCAAAGTTCTCAGTGAAGCCTTTTGGACTTTGAGATACTCCGGTGGGGCCCCTGCTGATCCTCAAAGAATGTATCACTTATTTTATACACATAAGAAACTAATTAGGCTACGATTGGATTTTACTATATTGGATTTTATAGGAAACATTGTCAAATGGTAAAATGATGCTAAATATTCTTTAAGGTATGTTCCTGTGGAGATGTAATTAATAAGAATGTTCTAAAAATTGTATGAAATTTATAAAATTCTGAGGAACACTCAGTCGGTTATCTTCAAATGCCTCATCAATTGCTGAGCTCTCACCCAAATTTTAGCCAAGCCTGTTGTCATTCATACTTTTTTTTGGTTCCGGAAATTGAACTCAGGACTTTGCACTTGCCAGCAGGCGCTGTGCTGCTGAGCTATAGCCCTGGCCCTCATTCACACTTTTGATTATCTTCTAAAACCATCTGTAATCAGAGTCATGGGAAAGACTAACCAACACTGGAATTCCGAGTGCTCGCAGAGTATTAAGAGGAATAATTATGAAAGGAGGAAAGGTTCTCACACACTCTACTATCTCAAAAGACTGCCAGAACCATAAACTTGCACAGAGGCCACTGCGACCTTAGACAGCAATCAACCAATCACTCTGCAAGACATGTGCCCAGCTGCTGTTCGTACAACTTCAGACTGCCTTCATCTTTACTCCGAGTCTGTGTGGTTCAGGATTTTTGTTGAAATATTCTGTAACTCTCCTTTTTATTCCTTCTCCTTGCTTCAACCTCTGATAATGCTCAGTTTAGTACATCACATATATTCCCATTCAAATGCTATTCTACTCCAAATAAATATAATTATTCTTTGGAGAATCTCTCTCCAATTTAGGTTAGCCTTTGTACTTTATGATTTCTCTATTTGAGAATATCAGTATTCCCTTTCACTACTGCAAAAGAGAAGGGAAAGGATACAATTAGTTAGCATCCCCGAGAGACATGCCGCACATCAGTGAAGAAGTCAGCGAGGGGAGAGGCAGCAGACAAGGAACTTGGCAACAGACGCTTCCTCTGTGCTCACCTCTCCTAAAATGGTAGGGGTGGGGTGGACTTGAATTTCTCCTTGGAATGTTTCACAACAGTAAAACTCTTAAGAAAAAAAGTTTGTGTGCTGAGAAACCAGTGGAAGTACTTAATTATCCTACATTAGGATGAAGGATTATAAATAAAGGTATGACAAAACTGACCAGTCTGAACATGGGAAGGGAGACATCTTATGGGCAGACCTCTCCTTGAACGTGACAGGGTATGTTGTGGTGTTTGATGAACATGGAGATTTCTATGACCATAATTATGAGATGCTGGAGAGCCACAACTGCCCACATCATCCAGTTTAAATAAACACAAAGAGATTGGCATCCAATTTTCCAAGTATTTAAATGCTCCTCTTCCAAATAAGAGGTGTGATTAAAAAATATGCCAGTCATTCTTGCCTCTTTTTTTTTTTTTTTTTTTGTACCAGGAATCAAACTCAGGACCTTGCACTTGCCACGCAGGCACTTGTGCCACTGATCTATACACTCGGCCTCTTCCCACTTTCTGAAGCAAGTCCTCTGCCATGCCCGTCTTTAGCTGTGCCGGTGTGGCTGTCTTGATGTCCTGAATCAACTCAAACATTTACCTTTCATGGTTATTTTGACTTTTGGGAAGAGCCAGAAGTCACAGATCTAAAGAATAAGGTGGATGAGGACACGCCATCATGTTTTTAGCAATCTGTCTTTCCCTTGGATTATAGTATTCGACAGCAGCATTCGCCATATTTTTTGATTATACTGTATAAAGTCGCTCACAAAAAAGGACTTTCGGAACTGCTTCAGAAAGTGGCAAGAATAACTGGATAGGCGTGTTCAGAGTGGGGGGAAGCATTTTGAAGAGGATGAACGGCAGTGTGTCTTTTACTGTCATTAAACATTCACCATATATTTTGATCATACCACACAGACACAGAACTGCCGTACTCCATAGTTAGGCACAAAGGGAATGCGTGGTGTTGGCAGTGACTAGCTAAAGCGTTAACAAACAATGTATTTTTTTTAAGCCAGCGTCTCATTCTGTCTAAAGAAGCTGCTTGGAGTCCTTGGTCATGCTTATTGTTTATCTAATAAAATCATGGTACAGAAGTAATCGATGGAGTCTCTGAAGGATTTAATCTCTCGGACTTCTGCCTACCAGCTGGAACAAGGGGAAAGGTCTTGGCAAGCATTCAACTGGGCAACTCCCACAGTTCAAGGTTCTGGAAAAAGAGCAACATACGGAAGGCTCACCAGGATAATGACAAAGCTCTTTTTATACCCAGTGGCTATTCTGCAAACAGTGTCTTTCACTGCACTGAGTTTCCCTGAAAGTAGTGATCCCACCTTTGAAGACTAAGGATGAGACCCCTCCCAGGCAAAGACTGTGACTCCAGTGACCCACTGCAACATTAGCTCTAAAGGAACTGTATGCCCATATACAGATGTTTTTATCAGAAATCCAGGTCCTGCTGCAGCAAGGAACCAGCCCCTCACTCCTTGGTCTTCGGTTCCTTTGTGCCTTGATGAAAGATTTCAGTCAAGACACACAGGCAGCCATGCCGGTCTATAGGCAGAATTTATTGTGAAGTAGATAGAGTTACACCTTCAAGTGAGAAGGCAGGCAGTGTCACAAAGACCCAGTGAGAGTCTTCATACATTTTTATGGGCACAAAAGTTACTCCTGGGGTTCAGGAAACTAGGGTGATTATCGTTTTATTCACACGAAGGATATGCTTATCAACATTTCTCTTTGAAATGCTGATAAAGATTTCTCTAAGTCACCCTGTATGTTTTCCTTTGCATAATACAAAATGACAATAATTTAGTTTTAAAATATTAATTGATTTTATTCTTTATTCTAGAACCAGGCAATACTTCATTAGCATAAGTGTTATCAGTTGAGTAGAAGACTTGAGTTTTCTAGATGGAGAAGGTCTGAAAAAGTAGAAATAAAACAAGAAAAGCGTTGATTATTTTAAAACTACTTTCCTAATAAGGTAGAGACAGGGAGACAGAAGAATAGAAAAATAACATTACATCAAAGTACCTCAGGTTAGTCCTTTAATCTTTTTTTTTGTCTTTTGTATTTTTTCCGGTACCGGGAATCGAACTCACAACCTTGTGCTTGCCAGGCAGGCGCTGTGCCGCTGAGCTAAATCCCCAGCCCCTGTCCTTTAATCTTTAAAGGATTACAGTATATAAGGATTAAATGGAGGCAACTTCATTACCATGCCACCTGCAATATATCTTTTAGGAAATTTGGCTGTTATCTCTCTCTCTCTCTCTGTCTCCCTCTCTGTCTCCCTCTCTGTCTCTCTCTGTCTCTCTCTGTCTCTCTCTGTCTCTCTCTGTCTCTCTCTCTCTCTCTCGATTTCTCCAAACTTCAGAAAACAACTTAGGTTCAGTTTGGTGAGCAGAATTTTCACATGGGTGACTCCAGTTTGATTTTTAGTTTGATCAACTGCTAACCAGTGCAGAAGCTTAGTCCAAAATAATGGCTTCTGGTGATTTTCATTAAACACCTTCGACTGACCTTGCTAGTGCAGTCTTTTTCAGTCCCAGTAATCAGCCAGTGATTATCTTTACAATCTTGCCTGGAGACATCATTTTCTAACACTTGTCATAATTGGTCAAGGTGGGATTTATACAAAAGTATCCCAAATCTAATTTCTATAATGGACTTACTCGCTCTGTAACCAACAACACAAAATGGAACTTCAAAAAGTTAACTTTTTTCTTCATAGACAGCAGCTTCTCTGAACTTCCTCAGGCCTAGGGTATAGCCACGCCACCAATGTCCTCAGCTCAGATGAAGACACAACGCACTAATGCTGGGAGGTTGTGGACCAGTTTGGTTGCACAAGGAAGGCGGGGAACGAAAGAGCCTGGAGGGATAAATCAAGCTTGGAGTTGCTCGTTTTCTCCTAGTATTTCCTCTCCTCTCTGTTCCCTACTATAAAAGACCCTTCCACCACTGTACACAGAAAGGTGATGATTTAGGGCTGGGGAGCCCCTCCATATCCTCAGAGCTAACTCTGAATAAAGGCTTTTTCCTTTTCACCAAAATAAATGGTCTCCTTGGCTTTGGTCAGTGGTGAGCAAGCAGACCTGAGCTTATGAACCTAAGTGGCTGGTAATAAGTATATCGGCCTACTGACCAGGGCTGACCCAGATGCTTTGGTTTGTGCAGCTCGGCCTTTCCATATCGAATTTAGATCTGAAAGCCAATGGCTACTAATCGTGGACTGGTTCAGAGTCCCTCCCAGAAAGAAATGCTTTTGGGAATGTCATCATTGGAGGGAAACAGAGATTCTGCCCTATTGTGACTACCCATGACATCCATCCTCCCCCTGGTTGGGGCACAAAAGTTAACCCATTTATGCCAAAGACTGCAGTTTTTAAAATTTTTACATGAAATTCATATATGTTACTTAGAAAACTTCAAGGAACAAGAATTTAAAGAGAAAAACATGCATTATGTTTTATTGGTATGGGCGTTCCAAAAATAGAATACTAGGCATAAAAGGATGAACGTTTTGGTTTAATTCTGGAGACTACGTGTAGGATATCTGGGAATTAAGCCCAGCTACTCCATCAAGTCACTGGACAACTCTGGACTTGGTGTGAGCCCAGCCTTCTCTTGTGAGTCAGGCACCTCTATACAGTAGCTGACTCCTTTTCAGATTCTGGGCACCCCCGGCAGTGGGTCAGCACAGCACCGCCTTGTCACAGAGCTCCTAGGGACAGACCCACCCAGACGAAGGGACTCGGAATGCCCGAGCCAGGCCCCCTCCTCGGCTGCTTTCCCTGTGCCAGAGAGCACTTCTGTGACTCTTCGTATCACAGGTGAGAGAAGGGGAAGCAGCAGCTGCCCCTCTGAAGTTGCCGGTACATTCCCATTTCTGGGCTGCTGCCTGCAGATGCCCAGGTAAATGCTTTACGTGTTAAATGTTCCTAGACGGGGGCACAGCCTGTAACACTTTAAAGAACAGCTATTTCCAGTGCCCACCCGCCGTTAATTCTTCTGAGGGGAAGGTCATAAGCTCTCAGAGCTGGGGCATAATCTGGTAACTTTTTAAAGGATTTACTGAACTTCACCTTTCCACAAACCTTCCAGGCTTCTCCTCCACACTGCCGAGCATGCAAGCAGCCCGAGGTACGTGGTTGGGTTCACCAGGCCGGAAAGACTGCAGGACAAACGTACAGTGAAATCACAGTATTTGGGCCAGGGATACAGCTCAGTGGCACAGGGCCTGCCTGGCAAGCACAAGGTCCTGAGTTCAATTCCCGGTACCAAAAAAAGGAAAAAAAAAAAAAAAGAGAGAATTTTGGGCCGGGGATATACCTCATCAGCACAGCACCTGCCTGGCAACCCTGAGGTCGTGAGTTTGATTCCCGGTACAGAAAAAAAGAAAGAAATCACAGTATTTGTGGTTCCCCAGGCCATACCATCATTATCATAAAGGGACTGTCTCCCTATTTTGAATTCTGAGATCTCGCGAGGCAGCCCCTTCTCTTGACTATTTAGGCCCTCGGTTCTGCGCCAAAGCTTGCTTGCTTGTTTGTTTGTTTGTTTGTTTGTTTTTTGGTACAGAGACTCGAACTCAGACCCTTGCGCTTGCCAGACAGGAGCTGTGCGGCGGCGGTGTCTCCCCGGCCCCGCCACTGCTCCCAAGCCTGTGGAACTTCTCTTTCCTCTTTCTTTTGGTAAGGTTGCCACGTTTCTGAAAACGGACAAACTCGAGGGCGCGTCCCACAGAGGCTCCCAACCGGTGAGGGACGCCAAGGGCTGCGCTGCGCCTTCTTCACCGCGAGGCGAGGCCTCCAGTCCCGGCCTCGACTCCTCCGAGCAGGTCCACCGCTCTAACCCGGCCGAGACGTCGGCCGCGCTGAGCGTGCAGCCCGCGGGCCGCAGCCTGTGCGACGAGCCGCTGCGCATCGCCGCGCGCGGCCTGGCCCCCGAGCAGCCCGTCACGCTGCG